TTAAACAAAACAAGTTTTAGTTAGAACCTTAGTTTGTAAAGTAGTGTGAACTGGACGCAACCGGCAGTTAAATAAAACGGGTTTATGCTACTTCGCAATCCTGAGTTTATGCAGCGGTTATTGCGTTAAAATCCAATAGGTGTATGTAAGGAGTTGGTGCTGTATTAGTTAAAATTAACTTGCCGTGAATCTGTTTTTGCCAGACGTTAATAATAATAAAGATACTGAACATATGAAATTTTGTCGTTACGATTATTTTAAATAGACCAATTGTCAGCTAACGCTGTTATTGTAATTAAGTATACATATAGGTACAACGTACCTTAAATAACGCACATCCATACAAATTAATCAAACCCAAACACAAGGTATTTAATATAAACCGCTGAGGAGTTCCCTCGACTGTCTGTCGGCTCCATTATCAGGTCGACTTCAGACCCTTATCGAATTGTAGTGTTTAAAAATCCTAATTGAAAAACATAATAGACGCATTACTCGCCCATAGAGTTTTCGAAAGTTCTCCTCGATTTCCGTAGGATCCCATCATCAGATCCTGACCTCATGGAAATGGGACCATCTCGGGAGTATACCCTTTCAAACAAAACAAGAATTTTCGAAATTGGTTCACAAATGGAGGAGTACTGCGCGAACAAACAATCAGCCGAACATAGTACTCCTTTTTTTGAAGTCGGTAAAAACTTGTTACTCACAGCCCATAATAACCATCATCCATGACCCTCTTACTAATCACAAACTACGTAACAAAAAAACCACATACTAATATTCACATAACCGCAAACTGATTGACCTAGACCAGTTCATCGACCTCTTACGTCAGATGGCCGGTTACAACCGGTTTTTGGATAGTGACATTGACTGTTGCAATTTTAAATAGTGTTACTTTGGGTCAATAGTATATTTTTCTTTCGATGCTTTGAAGGATAGGTAGACAGAGGTGTGTAATAAGTTAATGCTGTCGTTTCCGTTTTACCACTGTAGAAATTCATACTTTATACATATTGTGCCTAGTTGGCCGAGTGGTCGTAAGTGCGACTACCGGGCAAGGGGTCTCGGGTTGGATTCCCGGGTCGGGCAAAATGATACTGGGTATTTTAAAAATCTCAGTAGTAGCCTGGAGTCTGAATCTGTGCCCGGTATATAGCAATAGGCTCACCCCCTATTACATGGGACTCTTAACATAAATAGTGAAAAGTGGGTGTTACATTGTACAACGGCATTAATTGTCATAATGTGCACCTCTGCCTGCCCCTTCAGGGATAAAAGGCGTGATATTATATTATAAATTTAGGACGCATAACTCGTAAAAAATTACCAATTAACTACATAAAATTGTAGGGATTTCTATCAAAATTCACTCAAAATGATCCATTGAACTAAGCCAAGTGTCGACCTGAAAATTCATAATATGAACTAGCAATTGAATACAATGTGACTTCACAATACATATCGCAATGCTTTTAGTGTCCATTAAGTCGGTTAGTGTAATGAAAGCATTATTTTTCCATTTTCATAACAATAGACGACTAGGTGCTTGATTGAATTCGTCGTTTATTTTTATATTTACATCATAACTAGATTAGTTTATGAGTTGGGCAGTTGTAATGAAATGTTAAGTTATGAAATATTGAAAGTGAATTAGACATTTTTTACCACTTGCGGCCAAAACTAATAATCGACCTTTAAATCCTTTGATCGATTGAAATCCAAAGAGTTTAAATATTAAGTGTGGGAGAGCCATGCTTCTGCACGAATGGGCCGGCTCGACCGGAGTGATACCATGGCCTCACAGAAAACCGACGTGAAGGAACGCTTGCGTTGTGTATCGTCCTGTGAGTGAAGTTACCGGAGGCCCAATTACCCTCCCCTTCCCCAATCACCCCAATCCCTGTATCCCCAACGATCCTCAAACTCCTAATCCCCAAAAGGCCGGTAAAGCACTTGTAATGCCTCTGGTGTCCATGGGCGACGCCGATTGCTTACCAGGTGATCCGTCTGCTCGTTTACCGGCCTTATGCCGTAAAAAAAATACATTGGTTAATAATTTCGCGTAGAGACCCCAACATTCTGGAGAAGCTTGTGGTTGTTGGTCGAGTTATCGGGAATAGATCTTGTGGTCGCTCACCTACCCGGTGGTTCGATGTTGTAAAAAACCTTACCGGCCTGACAGTTCCACAAGCCATAAAGACAGCAGAAGCCAAGGGCACGAATAATGAAGAGAACGAATAGGAAGGAAGGCTTTCTGCGAACACCTTCAGAACACTGTTGCTGCTCATAATCCAATAGTGGACTGCATAGCTGTAGGTGACAATGCTGATGAAGTTAACTGTATTCCTCTTTGCAGTCTTACGACGACTTCTTCAAGGCTCTCCTCTTCAACGCTCGAGTGATAGTTCAGATCTTCTTCGTGATGGGAGGATTCCTCATGGCTTACAAGATGCTGGTGTACGCTGAGTCTCATCCGTTCACTTTGAAGACTGTTCCTATGGCGCTCGTTAATAGATGGTTGAGGTAAGAATGTGGGGAGAATTCTAAATAAAGATATTAAATAAAGTGTTAAATAAAAGTGGTTTAAAAACTCTTTTCGAGGCCACAAACTTAGGCCACAAAATATATATCAAGGTCATTATTTTATTTTGCCAAAAGTGTGCCAAAATTTCTTTAATGTTTTGTTTGAGATTCTCTTATTACGTAAAACGGCCAAGCATGCTTCGTAGTCACATTTGATGGGGTATTATTCGAATAAGTTTCTAGACTAATTTTGTTCTCAGTTAGTCTATCCGGGATAGTGTGTTATAATTTGGTATGTGATTTTGTTCGAGTTGAGTACGAGTTCGAAGGCATAGTCTATCCCCGGATCGATTCCGGACCACAAAAACCAAATTAGGTTTTGAAGACTCAATTAAACTTACGAGATATGTGTGGTGCGTACACTTGCAGAGATGTTGTTGAGGTCGGAGCGCGGAGAGAAAAGATTCACTTAGTTAGATTTAGAACGTTTAATTGTGTTTACAATAAAACTGTTAACGATTCCTTTCTCTTACGTTAGTCCCCGCGTACCAGTAATTGCATTCACTGATTTATAATGTTGTATCGGTATTTATATAAACAAAATATGTACGTCAGCCATTTTAGGACTGTACAAGATATTTGTAATCCGCTAAACCTAGCTTACAAACTGAAATTTCTGACTCAGAAGTCGTATTTATTATAACCATCTACTACCAAAAGGATATTTAACCTAGTCAGACAATAACTATCCCCTCTTTCACAGGTTAATGCCAGCAGTACTAGTGGTAATGGGTCTAGCAATGACCTGGGTGCCCCATATGGGGTCTGGACCGATGTGGGATGCGGTGGTGAAGAGAGAAAGAGATATGTGTCGCATGAATTGGTGGCAGCTGGTGATCTTGAGCCCTAATCTGTTCCCGTTTGAGCACCTCTGCTTACCTCAGGCTTGGTAAGTAGATTTTTATTTGAAAGGGTATATAGGGATTTGGAGTTTTTATTTTTTATATATAATGGGCTGACGCCGACGTTTTACCACTATCTCGCCTGGACATAAGCGATGATGCGATCTGCGGTGGAGTACGTGGTCTCGTAAGCAACACATTCACTTGGGCCTTGAGGTTATACCCTAATGGGGGTTCTTGGTGAAAGATGGAAATTTTTAAGTGTGTTTGGAAGACAATTAGCTATTTTTTTATGGCATAAGCCGGTAAACGAGCAGAGGACCTGATGGTAAGCAATCGGCGTCGCGCATGGACACCCGGGACACCAGAGGCGTTACAAGTGCGTTACCAGCCTTTTGGGGATAAGGAGTTTGAGGATCGTTGGGGATTCAGGCATTGGGAAGATTGGGGAAGGGGAGGGTAATTGGGCCTCCGGTAACCTCACTCACACGACGAAACACAACGCAAGCGTTGCTTCACGTCGGTTTTCTGTGAGGCCGTGGTATCACTCCTGTCGAGCCGGCCCATTCGTGCCGAAGCATGACTCTCCCACACTTATGTTATGTTTTTAATTCCTCCTTCTTAAGAGGAAATTTGTCATAATCCCCACATTGGGCACGCAGTTAAGTTAAAGGTGTCTACTACACATTCCTTCGTGTCTGGTCATCATTTTAGGATGTATCTTATCCAGGTCCGGATTTTACTTCTCAACTACCTAAATCATAATTTATGAACAAAATTCAAAAACAAAAGTGCGTCACACAAAAAATTCAATTGTTTCTTAAACGATTCCAGTTCATTAACATAACATTTTCAAATTAAGTAAAAGGGTTTCGAGATTATATCTCCGCATTTCCTACGTGTTAAAAACAAAAAAAAAAATATGTAAATAACACAGATTGGACATGTCCTAAACTCGTTCGAAATTTTGCTAAGGGTCCAAGGACGTACAAGTATGGGAAAAAATACAAAAAAAAACTTACTTAATTACATTATTATAAAATCGGGTTTTATTTTTATCATTTCGAGTAAACTTTGAAATAATCTGTTTGATAAGAATCTGACTTGCAAGACATTGGTAAAATATTTTTATTAAAATATTACAATGTCAACAAAAAACTAAGTTGGTTTTTACTCTCATAGAGATCGAACTGACATGATCAATAAATTAACTACCTAAGCAAAATATAAACCATGTCTTAGGGCTACTGCGACCATTGTGAGGAGGATACGGCGCAGCACACCCTTATGGAGTGCATGGCTTGGGATGAGCCGTGTCGCGCCCTCATATTAGAGATCGGTGACAATCTGTCGCTGAAGGAGGTTGCGAAGAGGGAAAGAGAAATTACAATTTCTCTACCTTCCCGCAATAGGCGCACCGGGCGTCGAAGGATAGCATAAGTCGCTCTCTTTCGACCCCCCTAAATGGATCCGGAGACGGTGGACTTGGGGAAGCCCCCGTCACCTCGTTTTAAAGGACCCGAGATGGTGGCGCGCGTTGTGTACACGCGCGCCTCCGAAACGTTGCACGGAGAAGATTAACACCTCACTGCTCTATGCATCTTGAGGTGGACCTGGCAAGACAGGCCGCGACGAGTTTGGGGGCTGCGGAAGAATGTGACTCCCGCACCCCGTACCCACGTGTGAGACGGGATACCAGGGTGGGTTTTAGTCAGTAAGAGTCTGACAGTCCCTTTCGTCCTCCCCAGGCGAGGTGGCTTCATGAAGATTTCCCACCTAGGGGTTTAAAAAAAATTTCTTAGGGCATAGGTAATGCAGGTATATATAAAACTGCGATGCGAATCCGGAACGCAAAAAGATTACGATCCGAATTGCAGCGATGGGATGTCGTGCGACAAAGCGTCTCCCAGGGTGACCATTCCTTCGACGACCGTCAACCGTACTAAACGTATTTTAAATTAAAAACTAGATCGTTACATTGATCGTAAAAAGAAGTGTGTACTTCTGTAATTGCTTAGGAGATACAGGAAAAAGAAACAAAAGATTTTGGGAAGATAAGAATTTGATGCGCGATGCGAATCAATTCGCAAGTTCTTGCGATGCGAAGTCACATCTCAGTTTTGTGTACGAGCCCTGAGTCCATTATTTCGTTCATACTAATTTTAACTTCAACCAAAATAGAAATAAAATGATTACTGACTTAAATTTAATTTTAATTGCAATTGGGAGACAGGCGTCTGATTATGTATGTAAATTTAATATTAACAAATTAAACAAGTAAATTATTTTAATAAACCTAACAAATAAAGGTTACATGTATCTTAATTACAACAACAAGAAAAATGGATAAAAAAAAACAAAAGCTAACTATAACGGTCAATGACCTTAAAAAAACTAATTATAAAAACAATGAACTCGAAAGGAAAAGGAAACTGTTTATGTTAATCAGAGACGCGTAAACACTCAAACTGAATGTGGCAATCCATTCGAGAATGTCCGTGAAATTTTAATATTCGGTTTGTTGTAATTACGTTGGACAACATGCTTTAAATTACTAGTACCGTCATTATAGACACAATTAAAGAAAAATAGGTTGCGGTCACCGGTGACCGCTTGGTGTTTGACAGTTTAAATTACTAAATTAACAGTCGATTTCAATTTATGGAGATCATTTCATCATTTTAATTGTTTTATGGGGTAAGCCGTCCTTTTTGGGATTAGGATTTTGAGGATTGTTGGGGATTCAGGGATTGGGGAGATTGGGAAGGCGGGGGGTGTTGGTAACTGGGCCTCCGGCCACCTCACTAACATGACGAAAAACAAAATACAGCACAAGCGTTGTTTCTCTTCGGTTTTCTGTGACGCTGTAAGTATCGCTCCGATTGAGCCGGCCCATTCGTGCCGAAGCATGGCTCTCCCACACTTAAAATAATTCATTCAAGTTCATTCATTAAAATCTTTTGATACATGGAGTTTCTTTGCGTTTTCTTTTATTAAAACATATTATTTGGGCCTAAAGCAAAGGCTAAAGTTAACTTTTAATTTTATTACACTATGAACTGACGACAGAGTTCAAAGCATTTGTCACTCCCCCCCTCCCCCCGACTCTTTCTGAGCTGACCTACTAAGGGCCTACCATATTTAAAAAAGACAAGGCAGCGGTCTCTGATAAACCTGATCAATTACCCCCGTCCCTAATCACCCGTATCTCCGAAACCTCCACAATCCCCAAATTCCCAATTCCCAAAAAGCCGGTAACGCACTTGTGACGCCTTGGTGTTTCGGGTGTCCATGGGCGGCGCCGATTGCTTACCATCAGGTGATTCTATGAAAAAAAATCATTTTAAACTGCGATATTCTACCTGCTAGCCAGGCGTAGACATTACAACAAAACCTTCTTCTACAGAAGATGGAGAAGAAACCGTTGTTAATTAGAGACGTGTAAACACAATCTGGCAATCCATTCGAGAATGTCCATGAAATACTCATATTCGTTTTGTTACAATTACGGTAAACATTTTGGTTTAATCACATTGTAATTTTAATGTACTATGAATCCGTAGTAATAGGAACCACGTGATAATGGCAAAGGCATAGAATACACATTATTTTGTTACCACCACTTGCTCCGTCTAGGGTAGGAGAAGTAACTACGGATGGCCTAGCAGGTTACCTACCGGGGTCGGCTGAAAGTAGAAGTAAGAACGGGGTGGCTTTTAGTCAGTAAGAGCCTGACACTCTCTTTCGCCTCACTCAAGGTGGGAGTAGAACTTTGATGATTTTCTCTCCTCACAAAGGGTAAGAGAAGTAATTTCATTATTTCCGATAAAAATACAACATAGGTATCAACCGATATTCTCATAATTAGTCATCATTCTATCAGTTCTATTATCTCATTACAAGTGTCCAATGATGCAATGAGTAACGAAAAAAAGATAAACAGCCTAAAACACAGAATAAAAACAATGAAACTGTCATTTGTTTTTGCATTCTGCGTAAACAATCTTACGCAAAATTTAGACATAAATGACCAAAGATTACAGCCGAGATTTTTTACCTTAAATCTACTTTTTTCTATTGCAAACATACTGAGACAAGGCTAATCTACTTTCCATCGATATAACCTTGAGCACATTGCATCAAACCCCAGTTTTTCACGCGAAATTACGCCAGAAAAACAAATATTATAAGATCACACATCTTAAAGTAAATATGCACTTAAATATGAGTTTTATTGTGTAAGTGACAGAGTTTATTTTTAAAAGCATTGCGCAAAGGGCGTGCCTTGTAATTACAGTTGGCTAAAAGACTATCTTAATCTGGTTCGTGCTTGTAGACTGTAGAGTAATAAAAAAATCTCCTTGACATAAATGACAACCATACTTTGACAAATTATAATTTTGTCTTTTGTTTTTTAAGGCATTGAGATGTAAATGCATTTGTCAAAAAACAATTTATTTTTATATTCATTATCTCCTAAATTCTGTACTTCCTTTCCTTAGTCGGATTTAGTTGAATCAGTAACTGCCATCCAACATTGAGCCGTATGGTAATGAGATAATAGAATACATTATTCGTCACCGATAGCTTTCACGTCTAACAAGAATCAGGCAGCAACATTCTCTGATAAACCTAAGCCGTTTATTCTGCGTTTTACATACCACCTTCCAGCCGTAGAAATGATGGCAAACACTCTTATATGGATAATTTTAAGGTTCATATTCCACCATGCTTCTCTATAAGTGTAAAGCTATGGAAATGCATGGCATTCACTTTAATTCTAACCTTTAGTGATAAGTCATTAAATCGCTGTCCAATTGGGTAGTTTCTTGGGTCAAAAATAATCATTGATTTTTCAGTCCAATTAAATATTGAAAAATAGTTACACTTTCATTCATTGATTTGCCGATATACTTAATTTTAGATTTTACTTCATTTTTTAGATATATGTGTGCTATTTTACGCGAAAATATGATGACGTCATAAGATGGTATTTCGTACAAAATTCATTGAACAGTTTTGTTTTTGACGTTTCGATCAAAGTATTGAATTTGACTAGTTGTAAACTATCGTATTGTTTGGCCTTCTAATTGGACTAGCATATCGTATTTTAGGTTCGTACATTTATTACATCATAATGCTTAATTACCATCATCATCAACGACAACTGGAAGCCGTCCACTGCAGAACAAAAGCCACTTCCTTATTCCTCCACGTCGAACGACAACTCGCCACCTGCTTAAACTGTCAAACACCAAGCGGTCACCGGTGACCGCAACCTATTGTTCTATAATTATTGTGTCTACAAAACCGGTACTCGACGAGTTAATACCTCTTTTCAATTTTAAATCTCCCTTCTTTCCAGGTACCTCGGTACAGACACCCAGCTGTTCCTAATAACCTTGGTAGTCCTACTCATCATCTGGAGATGGCCTAGAAGTGGAGTACCAGTTCTCTCTGCGGTTATGGTCATAAGCTTGCTGATACCTTTCCTGCAGAGCTACTTTATGAACTTACTACCTATTAGAGTCAGCATATTCCCTGAGTAAGTATTTTGTAACGTTTATTTTTTAATAGTACTTAGATTTTTAGGTTTTTTTATATATATATTTGATGGGGCGACGTTTGACCACTATCTCGCCTGGTGGTAAGCGATGATGCGGTCTACGATGGAGCTCGTCGTCCCATAAGCAACCTATTCACTCGGGCCTTGAAGACTCCCAGGTATACCCTTCAGGAAATACAGACTCTGGCAAAGAATTCAAGAATTAGGTTTGGCACACTTATTTGTATTTACCAATAAATCTTTACCATCAACAGACTATAAATGCCCACTGCTGAGCAAACCTCTCACCCGGAGAAGGTTTGAGCATTACCGCGCTTGCTGAATGCGGGTTGGCGATTTCAAACTTATAAATAGAAATTATAAGCCCAGGTTTCCTCACGATGTTTTCCTTCGCCGTTTGGCAGTGGTGTCTAGATAATCTTAGAAAGTACATATATGCCTCTTTGGCCGAATGGTCGCAATTACCGGACAAGGGGTCTCGGGTTCGATCCCGGGTCGGGCAAAGTATTACAAGGCTTTTTAAAAAAATCTCAGTAGTAGCACAGAGTCTGGAATAGTTCCCGGTATATGGCAATAGGCTCACCCCCTATTACATGGGACTCATAACATAGATAGTGAAAGGTGGGTGTTACATTGTACAGTGGTATTAAGTGCCGTAATGTACACCTCCGGCTACCCCTTCGGGGATAAAAGGCGTGATGTTATATTATGTTATGTTGGTACATATATCTCGGAAATCATGTTTGTTTGTTTGTTTCGACCCCTCACCCATATGCATGAGAAGCGGGCGTCTTAAGCCTCCGGGCCACGACGACCACAACAACAATAAATGGCTTCTCTTTATCTTGGAAAACTCAACATTCAATCTTAATTTTTATTCAAGTCCAGAGTTTTGATTATTCTTATGAATCTACTAGTCAGCATCTAGACTAGTTATACATACATGCATAACATCACGCCTTTTATCCTCGAAGGGGTAGGCAAAGGTATACATTGTAACAAAATAACACCTACTTTTCACTATTTATGTAATGAGCCCCATGTAATAGGGTATTAATAAATATAGGGTAGTAATAAACAATTAGTTATAATTTCAAACATTACTTTAAAAAAGAAATTATTAGTTATTTGCAATACTGGCCTAAATAAAACTAAACGACTTATTATACATAACAATGTACAATACAATCAATTTAAATACAAACTCCTACAAAACACACAGTAAAAACGATTGTACATACACGCACACACTTAAAAATTCACGAACAAACTCGAAAGTACTTGAATCTCTGCTGATCCCATAATAGAAATCGTGACTAACATAACTTTTGCACGTGACTTCGTATGCCAACCAAAAATTTTTCACATAACTTCAACCTGAAAAGTAGAATCAAAAACGGCTTACCCACCATCGCTATTGCTATCCCATTTCCACCTCTATCTAAAACAGTATAAAACTCGTAATTCCTTGCCACCTTCACCTGCCTACATATATTCACCACATAGTGTTATATAATTTGTAACTCTATTTACAGATCAATAAGGGATATATTCGGATACAACGACACGTTCTACCATGCGTATGTGTCAGCGCAAGGCAACTGGGCTGGTTATCATCTTGGAGTATTGACTGCTTACTTCTATCATAAGGCCCAGCAGAAGAAATGGGATCTTAGAGGGTCTATGGTAAGTATTACTTGTTTTGTTTTTATAATAACTATCGTAAAACATACTAAATTAACTAAAAATCGCGGGTTACTCACGTGAATATACTGAGAAAAGCGCAGCCTACACCGCCCGCGACCGCGAACGCTGCTCATGAGGAAGAACCCCTCTGTGGTTCGAAACTAGTAGAGCTTTTCTCAGTATATTCACGTGAGTAACCCGCGGTTTTAGTTAATTCATTATTTATTTATTGAACTGTCAAACACCAAGCGGACACCGGTGACCGCAACCTATTGTTCTATAATTGTGTCTATAATGACAGTACTCGACGAGTTAAAAGGGCAGACAGTGGTGTTTTAATTTTTAGAAACTTAAGACCGATTTTATCCCAAAAACCATCTTTTAATTAAAACTAACTTAGCATGAGGGAACACCTAAATTAACCCCTTATTTGTACTGTTAAATATCAGATAAAAGTTGTTTTTATGGCATAAGCCGGTAAACGAGCAGACGAATCACTTGATGGTAAGCAATCGGCGCCATCCATGGACATCTAAAACACTAAGTCGTTACAAATGCATTATCGGCCTTTTGGGCATTGGGAATTTGAGTATGATGGAGGATTCGGGGATTAGGGAGACTGGGGAGGGGGGAAGCTCAGCCTACGGTTGGTGAAAAGCAACATCGTAAATCTTTTGAGACTAACACTAATGTTAATTATCATACGTCCCTTTATCAGACAAGCAATGTTAATCTATCTACCATACAATAGAAATACGACTCTACTCAAACTAATTTAAAAACCATTTTCTATTGCAGCTCATGAAACTCCTCTTCCTGGCTTCTATTCCGGTCGCAGGTGGAGCTGTCCTCATGGGTTGGGATCTCCATCATCGTGAGGCATCAGCCTTCGAGGCCGCTGTGTTCAATGCTTTGAACCAGAACTTCTTCGCTCTAGCTATCTGCGTGTTCATTATCGGATACTTTTATAAGTTGAACAGTAAGTTTTGCAAGCATTTCTGTGTTAATCATAATACACCACTATTTTTTAATTAGTACCTACACAAAAATGAGGCACTATCTGTACCCGTTACTGATAATATTTGCGTAATAAAAACTAAAAAAAAAAACTAAATCCCAAAATGTATGCGTTTAATTACCTACAATTACGTTATCAGCTGTTGGATGCAGGGCAAGTTTGAGCGAGAGCACGCGAACGCGAGAGCGAGAGAATATGATTAATGAATACTACTATGAATGACCTGGAATAACCTGTACAACATTTCCATGAATTTAGTGACATTTTTGTATATAACTTACCGCTAATAACTTTGCTGCATAGATTGCTTTTTTTGCATAGATATTAATAACAACTTTTTAAATAAGCCCTTTAAGTATTTGGACTAATTAAAAATAGTGGTGTATATTAAAGATAAAAACACATAACATAACATCACGCCTTCTTATCCCCGAAGGGGTAGCCTGAGGTGCACATTTCGGCACTTAATACCACTGTACAATGTAACACCCACTTTTCACTATTTATGTTATGAGCCCCATGTAATAGGGGGTGAGCCTATTGCCATATACCGGGCACATTTCCAGACTCCGTGCTACTACTAAGATTTTTAAAAACCCAGTAATATTTTGCCTGACCCGGGAACCGAACCCGAGACCCCTTTGCTCGCAGTCGCACTTGCGACCACTCGGCCAACGAGGCAGTAAAGATGAAGATAAAGATATTTATTTATTAGCGTAAAAACATGGTATACAAAAATGTGATATTTTAAACTAGCTGTTGTTCGCGACTTCGTTCGCGTTGAATATAACATATTTTTGTTTCAGTTTTCTAAATTAAAAGTAGCGTACTTACTTCTTAGTACATTAGGAGATTTACCAGTACAAACAAACAGACATACAGACAGGACAGACAAAAATAGTAAAAATTATTACTTTGGTATGTGTATCGTGCAATGCATGTTGTAAAAATGTGGTTATTTTATTATCACAAACAGACACTCCAATTTTATTTATCTTTATGTATAGAGTATAGATAATGACATAAGCAATACAACTTGAACAAAATGGCAAAAAAACAAAAATGGGATAATATGCTAGTAATTGGTGTTCCCTAGTCTCTGCCTACCCCCATGGGAGACAGGCGTGAAGTTGTGTATGTATGTATGTATGTATGTATTCGGTGCTTTCAATTCATTTTACTATAGAAAAAATATACTTAGTTACCTATAATTATAACCATTGTATTTTCTTCAGGAATCTACGTAGGCTCCGTAGAATGGGGACCTCTACAGCCACTAGGCAGAATGTCCTACTGCGCCATGCTGCTTCACGCCACGGTGCTGAGGACATATGGAGGTCAGATGAGGAGGTCTTTCTATGCTACTGATTATACTGCTGTAAGTATCGACATGACATGACAGAAAGAGATACAGTTAATTCGTACTAAAAATAAATGAAAACAAGAAGAATAGATAAAACAATTATTTATTTATTTATTTAACAATAAAATATGGTAAAAGTGTGAATGGCGCGGCGCAAAAAAGCGAAGTGTTCAGATAAAATGCCGTGACTCGAGAGCGATAACTCTGTGTGGTATCCATGGGCGGCAATGATCGCTTATCATCAGGTGATCCGTCTGCTCGTTTACCTCCTATTCCATAAAAAAAAGTCGCGGCCCTGATTTTGAGCACAAGCCCGTCACTATAATATACGATATCAACACCGTATCAGTGGTATCAGTGTTCATTTGTTATATCTATATTTAGTTTTTCTTGTGCAGTCTATTCTAGCATAATTACACTTAAGTTATTTCATATAGTTTAGGCAAGCGAAGACATTTCATATTATTATTCTAACTATTGACATTAATTATTGAGTGGGTATTTTTGATCTCATTAGATGTGATTATTTGACTATTTGATATCTAATATTGGAACTTTTAATTACCTTTAGAATTATATACAAAGATTATTTCATTTAATTTCTAATTTTAAATAGACCTTATTTTATGAATTGTTCATCCAAAATTGTTTATGTTTAATAATTTTTTTATTTGACTTGTTTTGCATTGTTATGTTATGATTTGGATTTTTGATATTGTATTTCTTTTGTATTTTCTTGACATTTCTGTTATTTAATTTAATCTAATTTCATTCAATTGCTATAAATGTTTGTATGGGCATGATGTGATTCCCTTTAATTGAAGGATCACAAGGTTATTGTAACATGTGGTGGATTATTTTTTTGCATGTAAGTGTATCTTTTGTTGGGAGTCCAAATAAATAAAACATAAATAAAACATAAGACACGAAGATGAATTTTGGCTGTATGGGGATGTCAAAGTAAATACATTCGTCATCGCTCTGATTCTTCTTGAAGGTATCATACCTCTAGTAAAGTAAGACAAAAGGACTATATTTGATAAAGACTGCCCAGAACCCTCTGATACTGAACCTGAATCGTTTTTATGGGATAAACCGGTAAACGAGTACACGGATCACCTGAGGCCTTAGTACGAGTACTACTTCAGCGCTGTGATTGGCCGGTGCCGATGAACCAACCAATCAAGGCGCCGAACGCGTTCTAGTTTTGATTACTTTTAACGTAAAACTAACTCGTACTAAGCCCTCTTATGGTAAGCAATCGGCGTCGCCCATGGATATCTGGAACACCAGAGGTGTTAAGTGCGTTAAATTCATTCAAAAGTTGTACAGAATTTTAGGTTTCATTATTTCATTAGCTAAGATTGAAATTTCTCTAATACATAATAAATAACATAACCTCACGCCTTTTGTCCCCGAAGGGGTAAGCAGAGGTGCACACAGAAGTAACACCCACTTTTCACTATTATTTTGTGTTATTGGTCCCATGTAATAGGGGGTGAGCCCATTGCCATATACCGGGCACAATTCCAAACTCCGTGCTACTACTGAGATTTTTTTAAAAACCCTGTAATACCTACTTTGCCCCACCCGGGAATCGAACCCGAGACCCCTTACCGGGCAGTCGCTCTTGCGACCACTCGGCCAACGAGGCAGTCGAAATTGATGAAAGATTATATTCTTTATTCTATTGTAATTATTATTTTCCAGATAATGTTATACGCCGGTATAGTAACAACGACTTATCTCTTCGCTCTTCCTCTCTATCTCTTCGTGGAAGCTCCAGCCTGTCAGCTACAGAAACTCCTTCTTGGCCCCAAAAGAAAACCTGAAAGAAAAGAGATGGAAGATTCTAACGCCAATCACGTCAAACCTGGAATTTCAAACGTATCTGTCAACACCGTATCTACACATATCTAAATTTATAGCAACCTGTATATATTTTCAATCTTGCAATGGATTTTGAACTTTATACTCAGTGAGGTAGGACTCGTAATGGTATAATTTTCTATTTAGAAAATTTGTAACACTGTAATAATAATTTAATCATGCATTCGACTTTGTACTCTATAATTATTATGTTAAAAAAGAAAACGGTGTGACGTTTCTATTTTAAAATACTCACTATAAAATCAATTTTTCTCACTAACATCTGTCTAAAAAAATATGCACTCGAATTAATATTTTAAGTACAGCCCCATAAAGAACATATTTCTTAATGAAACAGCTGTTCGTATTAATCCGTAGACTATCAAATGCAATAAATATTTAAATTACTTTTACAATTTTCCAATGTAATCTGAATCGTCGAATAATCCAGTCTGAAACTTTAATCCTCGAATATTTTTTGTAACACTACGCGATTAGAGGTAATACCAATTAATATTTTTATCGATATAAAATCAATCCTTACTAATATTATAAATTGGAAAGTGAGTTTGTTTATTTGTTTGTTCCGCTTTCACGCCGTAACTACTAAACCGATTGCTTTGAATTTTTGCAGACGTAAAGTTAGAAGTCTGGATTAAATAATAGGGTACTTTTACTTTAGGAAAAATTTGATATTCTCGAGGAAAAACGAAATTATTGGTATAGATGGTGCTGTGTGTATTGGTACTATATGTCACATAGGCTACTTTTTGTTCTTTTGTGACGCGAGCGAAGCCGCGGGTAAAAGCTAGTTGTAAATAATTAAATTGGTGTAGTTTCTCTCCATTATTCTAACTATTCTGTTAATCCTTTAATTGATTTTGAACATTATGTTCAATGGAAATAACTTTGAAAATAGCACAACAATCTTCTTTTACAACGTGACGTCATTATACATCCATCTCATTCTTGTTTATCGAATTTATGGTTTTAGCCATTTAGCGTTTAAATCTAATAGCTTTAAAGTCCATTTTAAGTAATTTTGTTGATTGATGGCTTCATAAGGCCACAGTTTGGCCCAGATGGCTTTAAGTATTATGATGGACGCGACATTTGGTCCGTCAGTATTGTACATAGTATATGTTGGTATAATTAAACTAGGGGATGCAGTGTTTAAGGTAAAATAAGACTTTGTACATAGTTTTTAAGGTTTAGTTTTCTATTAGCAATTTACTGTATATTTTTGTAATAAAGATTTTTATATGATTTTTTAGTTTTATTCTTTAACCAGAAATTATGAATGTATTTCTGAAAGTGAAAGATTCTGAGGAATAAGTTCTGAAACCTAAATGAAGGTAGACTTATTACAAATTGTTTAGCAAATTAGCAGACTGCCTCGTTGCCGAACAAGGGGTCTCAGGTTCGATTCCTGATCGGGCAAAATATTACTGGGTTTTTAATTCTCAGTAGTAGCACGGAGTCTGGAATTGTGCCCCGTATATGGCAATAGGCTCACTCCCTATCACATGGGACTCATAACAATAATTAATAGTGAAAAGTCAGTGTTACATTGTACAGTGGTATAATGTTCACCTCTGCCTACCTACCACTAAAAGGCGTGATGTTATTACTAACATGTCGGGTCAACATATAGGCTACATATTTACACGCTATCATCTACGAGAGAGGAGCTGTGCATCACAATTAAACACGCACGAAGTAGCGGGCAACAGCTAGTCATAATATTTCGACTTTTTTTAAAATCCAAATCATTTAGCTTTAATTTGCTTCTGAAAGCGATGAGGCAAATTTTATTGGTGCTTTGAGGTAACATTTTCTTTATTTTAAAGGTATAAATATTTTAGTTTGCATCCAATATCCCAGAGCTATTGATACATACATAAAGGATCAGTTGGCTGAAGTGGCAGTGGGCCGGTGCATTTGTCGAAGAACCGATAACCGTTGGGGTAAACGTGTTCTAGAGTGGAGACCGCGTCTAGGCAAACGTAGTGTAGGGCGCCCTCCAGCTAGGTGAAGTGACGACATCCGCAAGGTGGCTGGCAGTGGTTGGATGAGAAGAGCTGAAGATCGAGCTCAGTGGCGTGCCATTGGAGAGGCCTATGTCCAGCAGTGGACGAATACTGGCTGATGATGATTGATATATACACAGATACACAGATATATCACCATCTAAACCTTCACATGCATGGTATAAACGTCATGACATCAAACAATCAAGTTATTTCGGTAACAAAATGTTGTGCGGTCAACACAGACTCCGTCCATTATTTATAACACATCCTGAATACGAAACCGCATTTTATATTGTTCTGAACTCCTGGTACTGTTGTTGTATTAGATACTTTATCATAATATAACATAACGTCCTTTATTTCCGAAGGGATACACAGAGGTGCACATTACGGCACTTAATGCCACTGTACAATGTAACACCCACTTTCAATATTTATGCTATGAGTCCCATGTAATAAGGGTGCTACATAAC